ATGGCCTTCAGCAGCACAATGGAAAAGAATGCCCATGGCTTGACTCTCAAGAATGGAGTAAACATTCTGCTAAACAATCTGCATAGGCTTTCCCATAACCCCACAAGTGGTAGTCCCCAGGGTGAGTGGTTCTTTCTCCATGACTTGTCCCCTTGCCAGAGGTGGGGGAGGGCTTAGCAAGCAACTGTAGTAAATAACAGGCAAGTATATTTGGAAAAATGAGGGATAAGCATGATTTCAGTAGGAAATCCCTACTGGAAAGAACCCTTGTTCTTTGTTTGATTTTGTTTTTTGTCCTTGTTTTGCCTTGCTTCTGTAAGCCCAGTCTGGGCTTGACCTCAGAGTCACCCCCTCATCTTGCCATGAATGGATTTGGAAATGGAAAGTATGTAAAGTGAAATGCATTCAGAGAACTGTCTTTTCACTCGTAGGTACAAACTAAAGAAGTCAATCTTGTAGAAAAAGGGTGGGACAGAGGAAATACAAGTTAAAACTAAGAAATGAATCTTGTAGAAAAACAGTAGAATATAGGTAGAAATTAAAGAAATGAATCTGAGAGAGAGAGAGAGAGAGAGAGAGAGAGAGAGAGAGAGAGAGAGAGTGAGAGAGTAGAATAGAGGAACTAAAGGTAGAAACCAAAGAAGTGAATGTCATAGACAGAGTAGAATGTGGAAACTAAAGTCTGTAAGGGTAGAGAATACAGCTTGGGGACCAAAACAGTTATATTAGGAGCAGTAAGGTTTGGTCTTTTGTACCACAACAGGTAACTATAGTTTATAACAATCTGCTGCCCATTTTAACAGGAGAAAATGCCCACTTCATTGCTATTAGTGGTTTGTCATTTCTACCCAAAATCATCCCCCTCCCCTTGTCACCATGACTACTGTCTTAAGTATAGTCTCCTATGGTAGTTCTGGTCTCTTGGAATAGGTTGAATTTAATTCTAGAATAAAGCCTACACCTGGGTACAAAAGGTCTCTTAACAGGTGTAGAAAAAAAGTTACTTTCAGTTAACCCGACAGCTTGATGCTATAATAAATAGAATGTAGCCAACAGCTACATACTTGGACTTAATGTTCTCAAACTCTCAAGCCTCTTCTGAACCTGATATCCTGGCCTGGGACACAGGAATGTTTTAAAGTGCCCCGGTTTAGAGATGTAAACAATTTCCTGTAGTGACATGCCTGCAGACCCACCTTACCCTGAGGTCAAAGAAACCACCTCTGCAAGCTGAGTGGTGCCTAGACTTTTTTGGAGGATATGAATCTGTGACCTGGGACAGGCATTATCATTGGGAAAACATGGACATTTTCCACCTTTCTTCTTTCCTGTTGCTGACTGTATGGTTCTGATGTGAATCTCTTCTACAAAAGGTATATAGAATGTTGGTTGCAAAGAAACAATGAAAAATATTTAAGTAGAAGAAAGATGGTTGACATTACAGTAAAAGACAAAATTCTGATCATAACCAACAGCAAAACCTACGTATTGAAAAATCCTTGCTGGTGCACAAACAGTGTGAAACTGTTTAATACAACTCTTTCTATACATAACCAAGGCGAAACAGATTCTGTAACATGCCATATTCACTGGAAGGACAGACAGTTCCACTTGACTGTTTCTGAATTTGGAAAAAAAAAAGTTTGGGTCATCAGTTCAGGGCCAGGTTACTCCAAAGTCCCCAATGACCCACAAGAAATGAACTGAATCTTCATTCCATCTTAGAAGTCAACTACCTTTGGTTGATGGCTCTAACATAGGTCAGAATGGCTCTGCAGACAAAGTTCTATAGGAACGGAATGCTATCCGACTCCATGTTCTTTGCTTCTGAATTCTACAACTAGCCAACAGTTTTCTAGGCTGATATTATGTTGCATAGTTTGATTATTCTTGTAGCACAGACTTGGAGAAATAGAAGTGAAAATCTGTTATTACAGGTTAAATTGTGTTACACTCAATTTGCAGAGAGGGTCTGGCTTCTTTTTATTATACTTCTGATTTTGTTGTAATGACTATTGCCTAAAATAAATGGGCAATCGACAGAGGCTTAGGGATGCCTAAGTGATTTTTATAATAGCAGTATTTGTTGTTGCAGAATTTGACCTGTATTCTGGTTATTAGTTTTATTCATCACACTGAAATCTTGGCACTTCTATTGTTCATGCTATTATATGCAAAGCACTGTAGCATGAAAGTCACTTATGAAGCTAGAGAAAAAGCCTCACTGAACAGAAGAGTCTCACGGAACAATGAACCCTCAGCTAAGTGGATGTACATTTAGTTTAGCTAAATGTTCAGGATTGTCAAAGGTTTATTCCTTTTAATCCCAAGGTTTTCTTTCTTCTTTCCTTTTCTCTTTTTCTTTCTTTATAACCATCTGTGTTATAAGCATTTAAAAAACACTTGCTTTACAAATACCTTTGAATCTCTCTTTTTCTCTGTGTATTGCTCAGTCATTATTTTGAATGTGCTGAATTGGTACTTGCTTGGAACTAAGTGTCTTCTATAAATGAGATTTGAGATCCTTTGGCCCACCTGACATTTTGTCTATTGCTGTCACTTTTTTCCCCCTGACTTTGGTTTCTCTGGAAGTCTGTTCCCCTTCCTTAAACTCAATCTTCTGTAGACTTGAAAACTAGTCAAACATTTAGAATTGTGTAAGAAGTGAAAACAGAAGTTCTGGGAAGGTGCCTGATGGTTGGAGGTATGGCTTCATGCATGTTTGCTTCCTGGCATTTAGTTCCACTGGGCAGAAGGCTTGGCTGCTTATTCTGTACTTTTTAGTCACTTTTCAAAGAGTTGTACTTCTGCTAAGGTTTTCCTAGTTGTTTCAACAATTTATTTTCAAGCCATTTGTTTGGATTTTATGTTCAGCAACTATGAATGAAGTTATCAGATGGCTGAGATCAGGTAATGGGTAACAACTGAAACCTCACAGAGAATGAAGATGGTGGTCCACTTTCATATGGCAAATGGCATACAGTAGTCATCTCAGACAGGGAACTATGCCAGGTTCATGATATTTAATTAAACTATGGACTGAATCAGAACTGGCTGACCCTGGAGAGTCTAAGTCCGCAGTCAAAGCAGCACTGGGCATTCTCTCTAGGTGATCCCATTATTTATTGCCTTAAAATGAAGGCAGTAAAGCAAGTCTTCCAAAGTACAGCATTGGGCCAGAAAAGAATTGCACTGCTGCCTTTAGTCCTTCTATTGTCTTGTTTTCCAGGCTATACAAAGCAAGAGCCCAATATCTACCTCATGGCTGAACTGTTACGGACAGAGTGCCAGGGACAACATGTTATTTATCAAACCAGATGACTCAGTATGGCTAGGTATGAAGAGCAGACACCCTAGTCTGTTAGCCTTGATTTAAATCCTGGCTCTCTGCTTATTAAAATATCTCTGAGCTATAAAATGAGATGATAGTATTAGTGCTTTGAGAATTAAATAGGGCAATGTGAAAAGCACCAAGGAGAGTCCCTGGCCCAGACAAAGAGCTGACTAAATGGTAGCTATTACTGTTAACAAAAAAATAAATGTTTTAATGCAATATTTACTGAATTTAATGAAATTGCAATATTTAACAAACAGACATTTGGTGCAGCCACTGAATGACTCCAAATGGTCTTGTTTCTCATTTATTTGTTGAGCCATCGTTCCTTCTTATTGAAAGGCTGGTAGCCTGATTTCCTGTTGAGCATATTTCACTCTGGCGCCTTGTGAAGACCAGGAGAGATTCCAGACAAGTTGCAATGTCATGTTTTTATGAGTCTAAAGGAAATGAGGCTACATGTAAGTAGAATCGAGAAACATCAATTAAAAACAGGAGCTGTCTAAAGGAAATGCACTAAAACGAGAAGGGCGTGAGCAATATACAATGTGGTATTGAGGGACCAGCATAGGAAGCAGGGATGAAGAACCTGCTGATACACTGTAGTCTGAAATTCTGAAGACTACCAAGTGCTACAGTGCCTGGCAATGCCACCTACCCATCTCCCAGCAGAGGAGGTGCCCTCAGCAACTAGGGAGGAAGTGGGACATGATTGCTCCAGGAGACAGACAGTCTTCTGTCCTGGGGCTTTAATCAGCTTGGCTTACTGGGTGACCTTGAGTGACCCCATTGCCCTGTTTTGCAAAATTTTCTAACGTTCCTGTAATATCATGAAGAAAGGTCAAATTAAGACACATTTGATAGAAACAAATTAGAACAGGGTTCACAAACATACCTGCTCACAGATTTTAGGATTTTGAAGCACTACGTTTTGTGCTTTTCGGACAGGCTTGCATTTTCAGATTCCATAGGCCTAGCATTTCTAATCTTAATATTGGGGTACTGAAGTCCCGAGTATAGCCAGACTGAAATGAGTTTACTTACCACTTAATTCTTTCATCAATTATATTCAGATAGGTACCTTTAAAGTTCCACAGAAATGGTACTGCTAGCTTAAGTGTAATTTGCTCAAGGGTGTTAGACTTTATTTTAAAAGTTTTATTTTAAAACATTTGTCATACAAGTGAATCATAGGCAGAGTCATAGTGACCTGTCCCCTGAACCTTCACCCAGCTGACACCCTGTTCTGAAAGATATCTGTACTCCCCCTGAACACCCATGCTCCGGTGTCATCCCCTTCCCCACGTCCTGCCTTTTTGTGTTTATAACCCTGGTGTGAATAAGTAAAAATTACAATTTGATTTAAAAAAAATGAAATAAAACCATAAACTAAATTTTGACTTTCTTCCTAATCAAAGTTACAAAGCTGAAAAGATCCCAGGAGCAAACACTTACCTTATAATCTACCTACTTACCTAAGACTCTCTGGCCTACTCTTCAGCACCGTCCAGAAGTCTCCTACAGCCCTCTAAGAGGCCAAGAGTAACTCAGGTCTCTGCATCTAACCGTCATCTCCAGCATTATCACAGATATGTCTATGCATATGCATATGATCATGGTTATTTATACTTAGCAGGGTCCTTTGTGAACAACTCTGAGACAAATGGTATTTCCAGTAATAGTTTATTGATTTCCAAATGCACAGGGGCGCCAAGTCCGAACATCCTGGGATAGCAGTAAATCTCTCTTACAAAATAATTTACAGTATGAAAATGATATACTGAAACATCAACTCAGATATGTAATTCCCTTGAAAGATTGAGTGTTCCCTTGTTTAGTGTAAAGGGTGGAAGGGGAAGAAGACTAAGGAGGGATGTGACTGTGCTCACGAAAACAGGCAGAAGACAATGGATTTGTTGGTTCTACCCACTCACGCTCTGTGGCCTGTCACTGTAAAGACTGGTCAGGTTTAACTTCCATAAAGTATAAATGATTGGTCCCCTTAAAGCCACATCAAGCCCAGAATGGACACTGGCTATTTTCCCAACAGTACACTCCAAGTGTCTTCATTTATTTCACTTTCCTGCTCTGGTCCTTGTTCTAATGTTTCTGCTCAGCCTCAAATAATAATGGGAAACCAAGGGATCCAGATGATCTCTTGTATGAGCTGGGGAATACCTGGTTCCCATGCTCTCGCTCGGAATTCCATAGGACGGTGGGCCTCAGAAACACTGATGGGTGAAGGCAGCCTCAGTGAAATGTGCAATCTCTCTGTGGGCCTTTTCTCTTAGGGCAGGGCTGGACTTGATTTATAATGGGACTTTTGCCTTTAAACAAACAAAAAATCTAGATGTGCTTAGCACATAGTAAACATGCAACCAGTTTACTGAGAAGTGTGTACTGAACAGCTACTTCATAAGAGTAGAGTATCAGGAATCAGCAGGACATTTTCTCTGTGGGGAGAGAGGACCTCTTAGACCACTGACTACTACAAGGTCATAGATTCTCCAGCTCTACACTCCATCCCAGATGACAAGGCATCTGCATTTTCCATGTTTAATAACATGGAAGAGGGCTGGGGTGTCACCTTGGCTTAGTGCTGTAAGAGTTGACACCTACCACAGGGGGATTATTCTGGAAAGCCAGCAGCCACACTCCAGTTATCTGTTTATACTTTATACTTACATGGACCTAGAAGAAATCTTTGTGGTCGTATATAAGATCACCAGGGGCTGCTTTGAGCTTCAGTTAACTCTTAAATTATTAAGTGGTATAGTATATGTGGGTGTGTGCAAATCTTTCTCTCATTTACACACACATGCACGCACGTGCGTGCGCGCACACGCACACACACACATACACACACTCCAGGAAGGAAGTCCAAAGTTAGTGATTTAAATTGGCACCTTCTCACAGAGTACAGACATGGTAGCTAGGTTTCCTAAAACATGAAGATTTGCTTTTCTATAGCACTGAAGCAGGAGGTATTTAAATAAAGTTAGACTACCATCACCTCCAACTCTCTCTAAAAACTTTACACTCTTGAAGGCCTTTATTTTCCTTTGTGGGGATTTACCAAAAAGAAAGGCCTTCCCAGCTCCTGGAAGAAAGCTTAAGTTAACAATGAATACTACAACATCTACTAGAGCAGAGGACTAAGGCTATCTTGATGCTTTGAAAAAGAATTCATAGTATGAATGGGGAACTGGGAGAACCGAAAATACTGGGGGAACTGAAAGCCCCCTTCTCTCTCAATCTGTAGGTGAGCTGGTGTGGGACAGAGGGTTCCCACTGCAGTGGGAAACTGGTTTTGCTAGCAACTACAGACAAGTGACTTGTTCTCTGCACATCTACAGAGGCTCATAGCCTGTCCTAAGGTTACTTCCTTCTACTGACTGCCAGAGCTGAGAAGTCAAGGACTTCTTAAAACTGCCCCAGATATAGCGGTATCAAACCAATGAACAAATTACTCTCAGCACTCAGAAACGTAACAGTCAGAAGGTATCCAGGGCTTGGTCGGAGGACCCAACTTATTTTAGAGACATTCATTACCTGTATCATTTGATGATTTGGGTAAACCCTGCTGTCCACAGTTCATCAGGACACATACAACTCTGACACTCTTAACTCACACTGACACGGAAAAACAAGAAGCTTCGTTCACCCTGGGGCACAAGGCCAAGCAAGAGGTTATAGCTCTGAGGATGAAGCTGATACCAGTACAGAAAGCATCCTAATTCTTACATTGATAAATGCTGCTATTAGGAACTTAAGGATCTGGGCAGGGGCTGCTGTGCTGTGTTTAATGCTTTCCTGGTTAAAGTTTTATCAGGTGCTGAAGACATCAGGAGCCCATAAAGTGAACATGAAACCCTCTCTAAGTAAAGGAGGAATGCTTTCCTTGAGGAGTCCAGAGAGACGATAATTTATAGAGACAGGTTGGCCAATCTTCTTCTGTTTATAACCACTGCATAAATGCTTAGATTCCCCAAACACAAATTTAAAGTACCGGCATGATTAGGTGGAGAGGCAATGATCTGTTCATTGCTAATATAGGGTCAACACGTAAAGATCAATGATTACTGGGGAAAGACAATACAAAGCTTCCAAATTGTCAAGTCTTTTCAATCTTCTGATATTCTACACTCTTTCCAGAGTGGTCTATCTTTTAAAATTGTTAGAATAGGATATCATTAGAGGTTGTTAACTCAAGACAGATTAAATTCTCCAGTCTTTGCAGACAGATGGTAAAGCACCAAAAATGTCTAAGCCATCTCCTAGCCATCAGTTTGGGGAAAAGTATATATATCTTTTGATCTTATGCTCCTCTCTGACACAATATCCTTGTCTGTGTAGAGAGCTAGGGTAATCCTAGCCTAGAGCATAGACGCTTGGCAGTTTCCTAGCCTCAGAAGGATAAATCATTTTCTAGCATGCACAGGGTTGAATAATGACATAAATAGGACTCCTACAATAAGCATATGTTGTTTCTGCCTTATCCTGTACATACACATGTTAGCTGCCCCTAAACCTTTGTGATAAGTACACAGGCAAGCTGGCTGACAGGAAAAGGGAGATTTACTCCAAGGTGGACTCCTTGGATCTGGAAGTCTAGACCTTGGTCAACAGCAACTCCAAGGCTCAGAAAGAATCTCAAAGTGAACATGAAAATACCACACAATCAGAGAAGAGGGAATCACTGTCCACTTACAAGTAAGAGTGTTCTTCCAAGTCTCCTATTTTATCTTAGTAGTCTAGTGTATGAATATTCTCGTCTATAACCTAAGTGTTTGTTCTATTAAAAAATACAGTTATCCCCTGACTTCAAATCATTTAGAAAGAAAAACTGATTTCTCAAGAAGATATGGTGCTGTGAGCTTGCAGTTGGGTATCTCCCAGCACACTACTACTTCCTTGACTCTGAAAAGTATGGTTGTAAGAGACTGTGATCTGGGAGTGTGAGAAGGCTAGGAAATCCAGCTCTGGGGCATGCCTGGACATGCTACATAAAAGAGAAAACTGGGGTGTGTGAGGTGAACTGAAGGCCTGCTGCAGGGGAAGGGAGGATCCCAATTATAGTAAATAGAGGGAATGTTTGCTAGCAGCCAGGGAGTGGCAAGGACTCCCCTCACAGTGCACCGACCACCATAGACTAACCTTGGAGTGGTACTGCTAAGTTTTACAGTGACAATCTCCACCTGCCAATATACATGGCAGCCTTTTATATTGTGACAGGCCCGTTAATCCACGCAGCTGGCTCAAGAATTCAGGTTATTATCAGATGCTTTAGTGACCATTTTGGAAAATTTGGGCAATCTGAATTCTGAAACACTGATTTCAACTTTTAATCAGATTTCTTTACCTCACCCCGGTCCTTAAGGTCATTTCCTTTCCACCTATTCAATCATTTTTTCCATTTCCACAGCACTGAATTATGAATTTTAAGTCCTCGATAACTTCACATACTAAAAATATCTCCTTTCTAGCTCTGGACTCTTCTCCAACCCTATTTTAACCCTAGCTGCCCTAACACTTCTCACAGAGGCAGAACTGAACTATGATAGACTGCCTACTGAGTCAGTTTGGCCCCATTGGCCACATTTGCTTTAAGCTTCAGTACAAACAAAGTGGGTTTTCTGTTTGCAGGTAAGGAAAACTGATTTCCTTTTGAGATGTTCTAGAACCTTCCTAAGGAAGTGATACTGTTGACAATATTCCAGGGGCTGGCTTTCCTGAGTAAGTTCAAAGCAGCCATTGGGGGGTTGTCTGAAGAGCCCTCCAAGTTGATCAAAGGGGCTCTTCCCATGACCTACCACAAGAGAACAAGAAGCACACAGTCAGTATGCATACAACCCCTGGTCCCTTGGAAACATGTGTGCCTGCTGTGGTTCTGGGGACATATCCAGTGGAAGAAGTTTGTTGCCGGGCAGCTTTCACAGATATCAGAAGCCATTACATACACGCTGTCACATACACACGGGGAAGGGGTATTTTCTGCAGGGAATGGTAAGTCTTCATGTGTCCTCTTCTTCACTGGCACCACTACAAAGGAAAAGGAGAGGCAAGTGAGTTCAGACATCACAGAAAAGGAGGCAACACAGTACACAGGCTGACAGCCTCATGCTGCTTCTATCATGACTGAGTAGTAGGGCCAAAGGGAAGTGTTTTAGTTTCTTTGATTTCAGATTTCTAAATTTAACTACAGTGATCATAAAAAAAAAAGTACTTACACTCTTGGGTTCAGAGAGAATCAAGTAAGAACACATGTAAAATTCATAGTGCCCAGTATACAACTGGTAATTAAAGGAGGAGGAAGGTCATCAGACTGTGAATTTTAATTAACAAAATAAACTGCTGGTAGAAATCAGTTTTATTTCCTCTAGGTGTTAGGACACCTATTATTAGGTCAGAAAAACAAGCAGCAGCAGTTAATGGCACTTTGCATGGGCAGAGCCAGGGTCTCAACCATGCTGCAGTCAGTCTCCAGGAAGTGCTCTACCTCATCAGGTCACTGGGCCATTCTCTGTCTATCTTCCTTCCTTCTTTGTTCTTACCACATTCTAGAGTTTGAAATTTTTTCTCATTCCCCCTTCTCTTAAAATATATAAGGGTAGAATTAATACTATCTTACCAATGATGACACACCTAGTAGTTGTACAGTATAACAGAGAAGTGTTCAACAGTGACTTCTAAAAACAACAGAAAGAAAGGGTGGGAGGAACAGACAGGGTTGAAAATAGCCTCAGCCACTACTGAGATAAGCAGAGGATTCCTGGTGTCAGTGTTTCAGTGTCAAAACATAAGTTTACAGTCCCAAAGGCATGACTATTATTTTAGATGCTTGGTGTTAAAGTACCACTCACTGGTCTGGTCCTGGACAGCACACCATCACAGAAGACAGTGGCAAGGAGAAGACATGACCAGAGAAAGAAAGGCAACAGGGATGAGCACATTTACAAACAGGCAAATCCAGCAACCTGGCTAGGTACTCCTCATCCACTTCTAGAGGTCACCAATTCAACAATGAATAAGAGTCAACTCGATCTGCTTATTTAACCTTAACACAGAGATACACCATGACCCGGAATTTGGTGTTGTCTACCCAATTTTTCTATTACTCATTCCAATCCCAGGATATTGCAATTACTATTTTCTGCATTGCCCAGATGAAGAAAGTGAAGATCTCTGAGATGTAAGAACCTAGGGTCCCCTTAAGATCAAGGTTTAATTTTGACTTGAAGTCTAAAGTTTCAAGCTGGTAGAGACAGAAAAGGTTTACAGTATATTAGCTCCCAGCTATGACCTAGAAAAGTTCTCAGAAAAGGATTATCTTTGTCTACATAAATCTACATTCTTTGTTTCCTTCTGGGGAAACCATTAAGAGAAAAATATTCTAGCAGTGAGTTTCTAGTACTGCCAAGGTCGAAACACTTTAGACACAGACCTACAGAATAAGATGAGTGAGTACATTCTAGAAGAGCTACTTCAGTAATATGTCACACATCCAGAATTCTGCCTTATTTCTACTCTTTTCCTGTTGATTGTCCAGTCATGGGATAAAGAGTGTATGTAGGCAGGGCTGGCCAGAGGACTGCCATTGAGGCAGTATTTGGTGGCATCTGTCCCAAAGGAAATAAAGGGTCTTTTATAAAAAGCTTCTAGCCACAATCAAAGAACAGATAAAACTGGTACCATATTCTCCCCCTCATTATTATATTGAAGCAGGCTCTTTCTGTTTCTGTCAGTCTTACTTCTACTAAGAGAGGACTGATAGTAACTCTGCCCTTTCCTTAAGCTGCAGTTCACTTTTTAACATTCTTGAGATAAAGGGTTCATGAACCACTGAAATTGTATTCAAGGTTTTGTCTGTGTGTCTCTTTGTCTGAGAAAGGCCACGATTTTCACCACAGTTTTGAAGAGGTCAACAACTCCAACCCCAAAATGAGAATATCAAACATACACAATTTCTTTTCCAGTTTTCAGGTTTGTTACCATAAAACTTGGAGCAGCTTAGGGAGAAGGTTAGAGGTATTTACTGACAACATCTATTCTCATTACCCTAAGAAATATCTGTTACTGGGACTGAAAAGGTTTATCTCACCATTTATAGTATGAGACCCTGTGGCTCTGACATACCATTTATTGATTTCTTCTACTGCTAAATATTTATTCAGTTTCCTTTGTATTAAACTGGATGGGCACAGCACTCACCCATCAAGACATCACAGCTTAGGTGTGATGTGGGCTGGGGAGATATCTTGAGTTTCTGTTGGTTTTTTTAGAAACAAGAAAACATTTTCATAGTAATAATCTGTTTCTTATAATAATAATACAAAGAAAAAGATCTTTATCAAATTTGTAGCACAGCTTACCACAGCTGGAATATGGTCTTTTCTGATGGTTTATCCATAACTTATCAGTGGGGGCATCATCTCCCTCTATATTCTGCTTTCACTTATTATATAAGCCAGTACGTATTTGCATGTTCTTATCTGAAATGCCTTAAAGTCTTCATTTCTCCAAGTGAGGCAGCACAGCCTTTCTCTTTGGGCACTCACACTCTTCCATAGAAACACCCACCTGCCACACAGATCTACAACTGGATGGAGATGCATGTGACAGAGACCTTTTTGGTGCCCACTTAAGGAATGTATTAATTTCTAATGGACAAGAGCAGGGGCAACATTATATAATGATCCCAGATCATGAGACTAATGAAGCCTAAATTCTTGAGTGAATCTCAACTTCCTTTTAGTAGTGCTATATATCTTACAGTGTATAAATCAAAGTACAAATCAAAACTTTATATACTTTACCCAATACACATGATTTAAAAAAAAATGAAAAAAAATCAAAATTTGATTCCTTTTAACCTTCTTTTAATACGTTTTATTTTGGTGTCTTATATTCCAGATTAAACATGCTCTTTTCCAATTGCCTTCAGATACCTGAGATGAAAGGTTTTTTTTTTTGTTTTTGTTTTTTTTTTTGTTTTTTAAAACTGTGTATGTAGCTGAGCATGCACCTGTGTAACCACATGGCGGCCAGAGGTTGATGTTGGATGTCTACTCCCATCTCTACTTTACTTTTGAGACAGTCTTACACTGAACCTGAAGCTTGTCATTTCAACTAGAATAAATGTCAGCAAGCATGTGGCATCTGCCTGTCACTACTCTTCTCCAAGTACTCGGGTGACAGGCATGCAATGCCACACAGATCTTATGTGAGCTTCAAATACAGGTCTCCATACATTTGCAGCAAGCACTGTATGCATCAAACCATCTCCCCAGCCCTTTTATTTAATGACAACTTCAAAACTAAGGAATACAAGGATTGGACAGAAAGTTTCATGGTTCTAACAATCCTAAGGAAGTTTCTAGAAAAAAATTTCCCCTGTCAGTGCTGATAATAGTGGGTTATTGAGTGCTGTGGATTAGTCAAGTAACTTCTGCTCAGTCACTGACTAGGTTTGAAGGTAGTATATCTAGAAGTAGCAGTTTATTTCTAGAAAAAGCTGAAATGCACATTCCCTGGCTGGGTATACTTAATGACTTTCAGTGATGATTCGAACATGGGTAGTAATCTTAAGGAGAACCATTTACAAGTCCTTAATTTCTACATAGCTTCTCCCCTAGAAGTGATCATCTCAAGAACATGGGTATAGATAATATTTGTAGCCATGTGACTTTCAAAATCACCTTATTTCTACTTCAGAAAAGATATGTACATATTTCTTGACACTGCCTTACCTATGCAAAGGCTTTAAATCGGTTCCATAAGGGCAGGGTGAGAAGTAGTAAGACATCATTCCCTATTTTGTCCAGACAACGTAACATGCTTATCAATGTATTTCACTAAGATTTAAACTCAGAACACAGCTGCCAAAAAGTACCATACCAAAAAGTGTATCTATTTGAGTTGGATACAAATGAAATCAGATCTAACAGAAAGTGAGTGTGATAGTTTGGGTATAAGAAATGGATCTGTCAATAGGATTATATAGTGAATCTTGTCTGTCAATTTTAAAACTCTGTGATGCCAGTTTTGACAAAAACATATATAAAATGTCATGACAACTACATGTCAGCAGTCACATCCTTTCTACTTATCTAAACTTGACCCAAACCTTCAGGAGTTGATCTAAAGGTAGGTAAGGAGGCACATACTTTTTTTTTTTTTTTTTGTACATTCCTTTAAAGGATGTAAAATCAGAAAGTTTAGCTAAAAGAACTAGGAGTACCTAAATTCTGAACAGGATGGTGGTGTAAAATTTAGCACTTCTCTGGCTAGGGACAGGGTGTAGGGGAATAGAATGGGGCCAAGGAGTCCCAGGTAGTATAATAAATGCAATATCCTTTTCCTAGACTTAGACATATGAAGAAGATAGCCTTTCTTTCTGTGGCAATGTATTAATGAAAACTGGGAGAAGTATCTAAGGCCCAGTCACACTCTAACCCTGCTGACAGAGGAGTTATCATGCAGAAGGGATGCTCTGGCAATTCTTAAAGATGTGATCCACACAGACAGGTGGCTCAGCGTACCAGCTTGTGTACTCAAGAGCTGAAGGAATGGAAGAGGAATAAACATGTGAGGTGGCAGGCACTCTGAGTTCACAAACTTAGGAGCTTCTTTTCCTTTCCATACAATAGTACACTTAATTTGATTTGGCATTGTGTCTGATGAATTCATGGCTATTAATTAATCATTTTTCTAAAAGAATTATTCAACCCAAGAGAATAGGGAAATTAAAAGGTATCTAGCTAGAATTTAAAAAGACAGATTTAGAGTTCTTTTTTTAAAAAAATTAGGCCACATAGGCACTACACAAAATGATAACTGGGAAGCTTTGAGTCTCTGTGGAAGCAACTGCCTAGTTCTAGAAAGTATTTCAGCTGTGTGGGGGGATAGAGCATATTCTGATCAAGGAGCTTTTCTCTATGAGGCACACTCACCTACTCTACAGCTAGGCAGAAGGGGAATGAGCTGCTGTGCCATTAGGCATGGGAACTTACAAGAATTGAACTGTGGAACCAGGTAGGCAT